GATCCGGTTGGCCGGTTGAACCGGGCAACCGGGAAACCTCCGGTTCAACCGGCGGTTAACCGGTTTACCGATTCTTTCTTGGTTGGCCGCTTCTCGGTTACCCGGCTGAACCGGCCAACCGGCCAACCGCCGGTTGATTTCGGTTCACCCGGTTGGCGGTTGTCGGTTGAAACCTGATCCCTGTCCGGCTTCTGATGGTGTGGGCGAAGGCGCCCATGATGTTGGTGTGGTCGGGGTCATCTTCCATTCCGCAGTCTGGGGGAGGTTCATCCTTACATTGGCGCTACCTTCGACTCATAAAGGGCTGGGAGTGCTTGACCAGCATATATGGTTCTTGTGGAGATATGTTGGTGTCCATCACTGAAGAAGGAAGCAAGTGTAAAACCATCTCATTGGGCAGTCATAATACAACTATACTGTATTTACTATATACTATATATATATATATATATTTAAGTTCTTTAAACAAAATACCAAGCCATGCCTAGTCAAAAAACAACAACAACCATGGTGCATGTTGGCAGGTCGTTGACATAGCACACACCAGCCCAGCGCAGTGGGTTGCACCCCACACCGCAGACTTCCACCAAGCGACTTCCAGACTTGGTGGGTCTCGTGGTCCTGCTTGGTGAGCCTCAACCTGGAGGCTGGCGTCACCGAAGGGTGAGGGGTTCAGTGGCCGTCGACCTGTAAAAGGGGGAAGGAGGCAAAGTGTAAATCCATGACATGAGCGTGCATCACAATATATGGAAACAGAGGTGAATCAGCTGGGATCTTTGAGACAACAAACCGGACCTAAGGGTCACAACATGAAGTCCAGGGTTCTACAAGAATTTAATAGTCACTTACTTCCCACCATTAGGAGTTTTCGGAGGCTCCAAATGTTTGACCCAGCCAGCCACATGTCTGTCAAGTCAGCCACTGCCGTAGAAGGCCACTGGAGGGGAAGCATGGACCCCAAGTCAGATGGTGCACAAATGTCCTTGATTCATAAAGATAGAGTAATAGATGTCTGCACATATCAATCTGCCCAGCATGCACGTGCGGGCTGGGCTTCCCGTGCATGCCATTGTCATCAATGACACCCCAGCTGAACCGCTGACGGGCGCCATCAACCTGCTGCAGAACGGGCGCCCAGAACAACACCGAGAATCAAACACGATCTTTTGAGAATGTTGTGTATACCTAATACATCCTGATACATCCTAATGCCTAGAACATCCTGGAACCCGTTTGACCTCCTATTTGACGGGAAAAGGCAATATTGTTGACAGTTGATCCTCCAACATAGAGGTCACTCAGTGAGGTTCTATATAGGTTCTACAATTACCAAACTTCCCCTAAAACGGCTTGTCTGCAGTCTGCCGATGTCGGGACCCTGGAGCGTCGCGGCCAAATTGGTCGGCGAAGCCTTGGGGTTGATCTTGGGCTCGTCGAAGCAGTTGTCCGGCCAACCGGTGCAGGTGCACTCTCCCGTCCTCGGCGCGGGAGAGTAGGGCCCGTCGGCATCAGAGGGGCCCTGCACGGTCTCATCTCCAGAGATTCTGTGTATGACCGAGTTTTTAAACTATAAGATATACATGCATAAGGTTTAAGGAGTGAAGGTTGGAGTGTTGGGGGTATAGTTGTCTGCCATCCAATCACCATGTCCAACTGTCGTTCAGACATGGAACAGCAAACTAATTGGGTGTTGACCCACCAACATAGAGGGGGAAGCTGCAAATATATATATATATATGAGGGACGGTCAAAACCTTTTTATCTTCAACTAAAAATGGACATCATCGGTTTTGAATTGGACCTTATCGTTTTACAGTGTTTTGAGTTCGCCACACACTTATGATCATATACAGCCCTGGGGTTATCGTTTTTGAGATGGACCTTATCGTTTTGCAGGGTTTTGTGGACAAACCTACCGCCTCTTTACTAAAGTGGTCCTCGCTATATAATATATATATATATATATCAATTCAAATACCACCTGTCAGAATCACCTATATCACGAGCTCAGTTCAATTTTCGGGCTAGGCTGCTCCACTCCCCAACACGGTATTTGCAGATACGCGGCCTCAGGTTCATGGCGAAGCGCCGCACCTGTTGGGGCCACCAGGTCTCTGAGACACTCTGTGGGAGTTCTCATGGGTGTTCTCTACTTCCTTTTTGATCGGGACATCTGACTGGCGACGGCAGAGTTGCACCTTTTCCACCACGGCTTTCGCGACGAAAAAAAAAAACGCCGCGCTGTTCATCGTTCGGGCCTCACCACCACCGCCTCGCCAGTCTTCCACATCTCCGGAACGCGCCTGGTGTCGGCAAGTCTGTGGCTAGCTCTCACAGTTTTTTTTTTTACTCAAATACCTGGTTGTCGTGGAACAGATCTGGCTGCAGCTCTCGTTTTCCAGTTTCTGTGATGAAACTTGAATGATCACCTCCTCATGGCCCTTAAAAAACAATGATTGAAGTTCAATAGGGAGGCCTCTATCATCATCCATCCATCTGGCCAAGTTTCTCAAGTAGAGTACCACACAATATCCACACAATGCGTGTTCGATGGGGAGAGTTCACCTTTGGAACGTGGGAATGCTTTTTCCTCATCGGGGTAATTCCCTGACGTGGGAGACCGGCTGGGACAAACTGTCCATGTGGGGATGAATCCGGTGACGGAGAATGGTCCGGTCCAAGTCCAAAGGTTGTGAGAAATGCCCAATTTCTGAGGCCTTGAGACCACTGCCATGTCGATTGAGACCTAAGACACCATGCAATCCCAGCCATAGACTCATAGACTTGACTGGCGATGAATGCGCTTGAACCGCTACGCGAAACCCACGCGAACCCCACGTCGCCCACGTTCGACCCGGAACCTGTCGCAATGGGAAGCCCACCGGCCTGGAGAAGGTGCACATGGGATCCATCAACTGTGGATGGAGAGTGACTCCGCTACTCCGCAATTTTACTTGGCAGTCGTGAAGGAGAACGGGTTCCAGACTTTTTTCATCAGCTACATGAACCCTTGTCTTGGCTTTATAATTCCCTCACAAGGCTGAGTACGAGGCTGTAAGTATGACCAAACCAAAGTGCTGAAATTTTTGTTCATTTCCTCTGGACAGGAGATCTAAATATATCTAAATCCCTATATGTATAATCCTTTTGAACTTCACTGACCCCCCCAATTTCTTGGCCACTCGCTATTTCCCTGGGCCACCCTGAGGCCCCGGACGGCTCGTTGTAGCACACCACATCCAGGTTCACGATGTCACCCTCCTGCTGTGATCGAGCGCCGACGATGTCCGTCCCTATACTTCGGTCAACTCTACACTCGAGGGAAAGCACGGGAAGTTGGAAGGGCTTCTGCACGAAGACCCACTCTGGCCCTCTTTCGGCCTTTTGAGGGGAAGGGCGGGAGGGTCTGCGGGTCGAGGATCGATTCTCCTGCACCCATCGTACCTCGCACCGAGAACCTGCAGGTTAGGAACGCTTTCTGTCTGGACAGAGAAAAGACCGCTCCGTTTTGCTTCGCAAACGCGATCCGACCGATCCAGACATTGTGGGGGTGTTCAAATCCACAAGGAAGCAGCGCGGAGTGTGTCTCGCAGCTCCAAAGACTCAGTCAAAACCGTGGCCCTTTGCCGAGTCATAGTGAGTGGTGTTGTTGCATGACCAACTCCAGTAAAATGACCTGTGAGGGTCAAGTAATATCAAATTTGACTGGCTATCAAAGATCAAAAATGACCTCCCAACTATCAAAGGAACTCTCCCAAGTCGCTGATTCATGTCAACCAACTGAATCTGGACATGGACCTATATAAATGATGCATCCGTACCCCTTCAGTACTTTGACGTACTTGGAACGGTGGATCATCTGGAATCGTTTCCACCACATCTTCCTTTTCACTGCCAAACTGGGATCAAACATGCACCACCCACCGACGTCCCGCTATGTCGGTGTCCTCGAAGGAGTTGATCACGTGGAAGAAGAAGAACCTGGCCACGTGGGGCCCACGTGGGGCGCCAGGCTCCGAAGCCGGGCTCTCCCGATGGCAGGATGAAAAGACGCTTCGAGATGGGGGCTGGACGTGGATTTGGGGGATGAACAAGGTTGTTTCTACATGTTTCTGAATGAATATGCAAATCTGTCGGAGCGTAGCTGAGGGTAGATCTTATGGTATCCTGAAACTACGATTTAACAATTGCAGTGCGTTCATTAGTTGGCTTGATCCCCTTTTTGCATCTTTTTGCACACTGGACCGCACACAACACCCTTCAAAGGGCTAACTGCATTAGGGTATAGATGTGCCTGTTCTACAGTACCCTGTCCCCCCAAAAAACAAAGAAAACCTTCCTTGCAACCCCCAAGCCCGTCGTGGATCCGCGTGTTTGAACCGCCAACCCCGTTCCGGTCCGCGGTGTCAACACCGCCGGAGCCACGGGTCCGTCTCAAAGACGCCCGTCTCTTCGCCGGTGCTTCGGTTGATGACCCGAATGGTCGTGCCACCTCCGCGGAGAACCGCGACGTGGACGTCACAGGTTGGGCAGAGCAAACACGCCACGTCTTCCCAGTGCAGTGAAGAAAGCTCAAGGACTTTTGATGTGAACGTGTGAAAGTGTTTTTCTTTAAATATAACTATAGAACCCATTTGACCTCCTATGTGATTGGAAAAGGCCATATGTTGCATAGTTGATCCTCCAAAATAGAGGTCACTCAGGTTCTAGGTATACACACACTGAGATCTACCGGGGCGGATCCGTCGAAGAAAGCACTGAGAGATGACTGGAGACCAACAGTCGGTGACCGATAGTGAGGAAGGATTGAGCGGTTGGAACTGTAATAATTCTGAAGTATAAGCCTGTCGAAACGGCACATGGCATACGTATGAACCGAGGACTCTTTCGGCTTAGGCGAAAAGGTGCCTGCGATGCTGCCCCGGGTGGGGCAACCGCTTCCACATTGGTAGCGGAGCCCCGCCCGGGGCAGCCGCGCCGCGGTCGGCGTGGATAGCACATGGCGCAGCCCTCGGATGGGCAAGGGTTGAAAAGATTTGCCGGTGAGTCGGATGACCCCGGCAAGGAGCTCAAAAAGTGGAGGACATGGGCGATGGCGAAGCTCATGACATACAAGGACATGAAGGAAGAGCAGAGAGGGCCATGGCTCCTAACGCTGCTGGATGGGAAAGCTTGGGACTCAGTGGAACACATGAGTCTTGAACAGCTGGCTACAAAAGAAGGAGAACAACGATTGTGGCAAACTCTTCAGGACCGATTCCCGGAGAAGGAGCAGCACGACATCCTCGGCGAGGTCTTAGGAGAAGTCTTCGCATTGGCAGCGGCTGACCAGGAGTCGATGAAAGGTTGGACCAGCCGGGTCCGTGAGACCTTCGATAGATGCCATCGAAAGGCATCCATCACCTTCCCAACAGAAGCAAAAGGATGGGTGGCGCTTCATTGCGCCGGCCTCAGCGAAGAACAGAAGGCCATCGTCAAGGCAAAGACACAAGGCAACCTTGAGCTGGATAAGATCACCGCCGCTCTTCGCTCCTGCTTTCCTCTGTACAAAGCCAGTGGGAAGAAGAAGATCACTGGTGTCTATCTCTCAGAGAATCAGGAGGACGATCACCCGGGTGAAGTGCCGGACGAAGGTGCCTCTTTCCAAGATGTTGAGGCCTTTCTCGCTGACCATCATCAGGAAGGTGATCCTGCCGGAGAAGATGATCTCATCCTGTCGGAAGGTGAGGCAGCTGAAGCTTTGGCAGTCTCCTGGAAAGACAGGAGAAAAGAAATCACAAAAGTGAAACAAGATAGACAGTTTGGCTCTTCTGCCCGACGTTTTCGAGTTCAAGTTGAGGAGCTCAAGAAAAAGACCAGGTGCCGCAAATGCGGCAAGGTTGGTCACTGGCAGCGTGAGTGCACAGCACCATCATCATCCAAGCCCTCGGATTCAAGTGGTGGTACTCAGACTGCTGTGAACTATGTGGAACAGTGTACAACCCAACAGTCAGAAGATGTTGATCTGTCGCAGGGCCCGATCACTCCGCAGTTTGTTGGGGCCACAGAGATTTTTACAGCCGCGGATGGGTTGGTCTCGTCGCCTGGCTTCGGGATTGTGGACTCAGGGTGCGGAAGAACTCTCATTGGAGAGTCAACCCTGAAGCAACTGACGACAATGATCGAGCAGAAGGGTTTTGGACCCGTGCAACAGTATGAGGCAGCCAACGCCTTCAGGTTTGGCAATGGGGCAGTGGAACACTCAAACAGGGCAGCCAAGATTCCGGTGGGTTTGGCTGGACAGTTTGGATTCATCGATGCTGCAATCATTTCTGGACAAGCTCCATTGTTGTTGGGACGTCCTACTTTGGAACGTCTTAAGGCATGCATTGATTTTTCCTCAGGCCTGTTGCACATTGTCGGACAACAAACTCCGATGAGCACCAACCAGGCTGGACAACTGCTCGTAGACATCCTGCAGTTCCCGGAGATCAAGCCTCCAGTTGCCGGACCGTCTCAGGTGACTCGTCCTCAGCTGTCAAAGAAGAAAGTGAAGATAACTCTGAAACAAAAAGAATGTCGATGTTTGTTAGCTCAGGTCCGCACACATGAAACGTGTCAGAAGTCAAATATTCACGTCGCGGAATTGTTCTCACCACCCAGATTTTGTCTAGAAGCCGAACGAAGAGGTCTTCGAGGTCGGGCTTTCGACATCAAACAAGGGTGGGACCTCGATTCACCAGAAGTGCAGAAACAAGTAGACAGTATTCTAGATGAAGAGAAACCAGCACTGTTGATCGCCTGTCCGCCGTGCACCAATCGAGGAGGCTGGGACAAGCTCAATCGTCGCTACCGACCGCCTCTTGAGAATGCTCGGCTGCTTCGTAGATCTCGGGCCCAGGTGCGATTCTGCCTTCAACAAATACATAAACAGGTGAAACGAGGAGGTGAGTTCATGTTTGAGCATCCGTGGGGGGCAGAAACATGGCAAGATTCCGACATGATTCCCCTCAAAAGAAAGTATGGGATTCACAGAGTTGACATGTGTGCATATGATCTCAAGTGTCCAGACACCGGTCTACCGATTCAGAAGGCAACCGGATTGCTCCTGTCTTGCAGCGACAAGGCCAGTTCTCGCATTCGTACATGTCCAGGAAATCACACTCATCAACATGTCGCAGGAAAACTGACGTCAGGACAAACACTCAGCAGCTTTGTTGCCCAGTATACGTCTTGTTTTGTGAAGAGCATGTGTGACCTGTTTTCCCTCAAGTCCCTGGACATGGATGCAGAGGTCCTTTTGACTGAGACCGGAAATGAATGTCTGGCAGTCGATGCACCGTCAGAAGCTGTTGAGATTGGACCAGCTGACGCAGAGACCGCAGAAGCGGAGACACCATCTCCTGCAGTCCTGTCAGCATTGAAACGCCTGCACACCAACTTGGGTCATCCAAGCACTCGAGAGTTCCTGAGAGTTCTAAAGCACAGCAAAGCATCACAAGAAGCTATTAATGCAGCCAAGAACTTCCAATGCTCCGTGTGCGACAATAATCGACAGCCAACGAGTGCACTTCCAGCGAAAACCACGAGAGTACAACAGTTCAATCAAAAGGTAGGACTAGATATCAAGTACTTGGACGGATGGCAACCCAATCAACAGGTTCCCTGTGTCAGCATAGTTGATCACGCTACATCCATGCATGTCATGGTTCCGATCTTTCGCAGAGAAACCGGGGAAATCCTAAAAGGGGTTCTGCGTGACTCATGGTTGATGTGGGCAGGACCACCAGAGGTCCTAGAAATGGATCCGGCCAAGACAAACTTGAGTCAGGAGCTGGGAGATTTCTGTGAAGGTATGGGCATCAACCAAGCCTTCACTGCTGCCGACTCGCATTGGCAACTCGGAAAGGTAGAACGACATGGCCAGTGGTTTGCTAAAATTTATGATCGAGTGCGAGACGAATGTAGGCCTTCATGTGCAGAAGAGTTCGTAGAATGCATCATCCAGACTCAGGTAGCCAAGAATACACTCTTGAATGAAGCCGGATATTCCCCGTATCAACTGGTCTACGGTCGTAATCCTAGAGTTCCCCAAGACCTGTTGCAAGAAGAGGTTCATCTCGCAGCCTCGGATGCAGTGCTCACCACTGACTGTTTCGCTCGCTCACAAGCCGTGAGACATGCAGCACGAATGGCGGTCTTGCAATGCCAAGATGACAAAGCTCTTCGAGCGGCCCTCCGAGCCAGACCAAGAACACAAAAAACCATCCAATCAGGTGACTGGTGTTTCTACTGGCGTAGTCAGAAATGGGAAAACGGAACCCTGATCAAAGGTGGTAAATGGTGTGGAGCCGGTCTTGTTCTCGGACGCATTGGCATCAACTGGATTGTGGCACATCGTCGCAGTCTGTTTCGGGTATCTCCAGAGCAAATTAGGCTTGCCACTGAAGATGAGCGGACAATCGCAGAGTTCGATGAAGCCGAACTATTAGGGATCAAGACTCTCCTCGAAAAAGGTCAGTTTCCGAAGAGTCAGTTTCTCGATTTAGTTCATGCTGGAGATCCACCAATCGCTGAAGAACTCATCGATCAAGTCCGAGATCGAGCCATAGAAGTAGCCAGAAGTGCCGGTGATCAAGTTGAACAGTCCAAGGATGGCAATCTTCCGGACCTGTCACATGCAGAAATACCAGTCGTGGAGCAACCATGTCGACCTTCACGCACAGAAGACTATGGGCCATTCAGAAGAGTTCGTCATAGTTTCAAGTCTCCGCCAGAATACCTTCGGACAGTTCAGCCGGCAGAAATGCCGTTGCACCGGCCTCCAGGCATGGCTCAAGACGACTTTGCGGAAATGATGGAGCATCTGCCTCAAACGATTGAAGAAGCCACAGCAAATGGTGAATCCATTCCCGGTGATATAGGTAGCCCTAGAGGTCAGAGCACTAAACGTGAAGCCAGTCGAGAAGGTAGTGAAGAACCCCCACTTCATCGTCCCCGTCATGAAGAGCACATGGATGAGAACCTGTTCGTTCAAAAATGCACAAACAATCAGCACAACAACCAGTGTGAAGTGTTACTGGCAGGTTTTCTGCAAAAACGAGCATCCAAAGAAATCAAAGCATATGGAAATGAACCAGAGCTTCAAAAAGAAATCGATCAGTCTAAGGGGGTAGAATGGGAAACAGTGGCTGGAAAAGATGCGGTAAGAGTGTGGAAAGGAGCTCAGGCAGAAGCCATTCGACAGAAGCATCCCGATCGTTTCATCGGCAGTCGATTCGTTGTGATCCGCAAGACTGATGAGGACGGATCCCGCATCAAGAGTCGATGGTGCCTGCAGGGTCACTTGGACCCAGACTTTCGTGATAAGATAGTTTCGGGTACCTGTCACAGCCCCACACTCCATCCACTGTCCAGAGCACTTATCTTGCAAGCAATTGTAAGCAATAAATGGCAGCTACAGCTAGGGGATGTGAAAGGGGCGTTCTTAGAATCTGGACCAATCAACCCAAAATACTCTCCACTGTATGCACACCAACCCCCAGGCGGGGTACCTGGACTGGATCCGTCCGATGTGATCGAAGTGACTGGAAATGTCTATGGGAGCAACGACGCTCCATACAACTGGTGGTCAACATTCGATGAGGAGGCAAGAGCATGTGGTCTCAGCCGTAGCCAGTTCGATAATTGCCTGTACTATGTTCATGATTCAACCACCAAACAGTTGAGCGGTATCATCGGTGCACATGTGGACGATGTCATCACAGGCGGGTCAGGTCCAGTTTATGAAGCATGCTTGCAAGCCCTCAAGAAAAGATTTCCATTTAGGAAATGGAGGTGCGGTAGCGGTGAATTCTGTGGGGTGCAATACCACCAAGACCCATCCACCAAAGAGATATCGTATGACCAGAAGGAATATGCTCAACACCTTCGACCAATTCTGATGACCAAAGCTCGAAGTCGTGACAAGACAAGTCCCGCAACGGAGAAAGAGATTGCCGCTCTCAGGGCAGTCAACGGAGCAGCGAACTGGCTGACCAGTCAAACCAGGCCAGATCTGGCTGTGCAGACATCCTTCAGCCAGCAGTGCTTTCCAGTTCCCAAGGTAAGTGATCTCATGTTCGCTAACCAAATGATCCACAGAGCCAAACAGTATAGTCATGTTGAGATTAAGGTAAGATACATTCCCTGGTCACAGATTGCTTTGTGTTTTCATTCGGATGCAGGTTTTGGAAACGCCAAAGAAAACAGCGCCCAAGCTGGATACATCGCAGCTTTCGTTGATCAAAGACTAGATCAAAACGAGTGCAGTGCCTGGTCACCTTTCAGTTGGAAATCATACAAACTTCCGAGGAAAGTAGCGTGCACTTTAGCCGGAGAAGCCCAAGCATTCTCAACGGCAAGCGCTGTGTGTGAATGGATGTCTCTCATGTTTGCTGAAGTCACCTCAGGAGCCTTTGATCTGAGAAACAGCGATCAACTAAAGGACTCCCCAGTGACGCCGTGTTTGCCCACAAGAGACCAGGTGACCAAACCACCAATAATAGGTGTAACTGACTGCAAGAGCCTGTATGATAATCTCACAACCCTATCTTCGATATCCAAGTGCGAAGATAAACGAATAGCAATAGATATTGGCATTGTTAGGCAGAGCATGATTAGGTGTGGTTTGAAGGTCAGGTGGGCTCCAACCGAGCTCATGATAGCAGATGGTTTAACCAAAGACCATCAAGATCCTGCGGATCTGTTGCGCTCAGCTCTCCACCTTGGGGAGTATCAGCTTCATGAGGAGGCCTCGGTTCTGGCACAAAAGAAGCAGTTTCGAGAAGATCGGGTCCGCAGACGAGAGCACCAGAAAGAAGTTGAGAAGAAGTTCAAACAACTAAAGGGAGACCGAAAGACCAAAGAAGTTTCACAGATTATCTAGTTCGCTTAGTTTAGAGTGCTCGATTATGCATTAGGGGTTGTCAATTGCAGCCGCAATTGCCACGGGGGTCACGGTGTGAGAGTCATGTGATGTAATGAACTTTCACTAAGGGTAGTGATTGAACTGACACATAACACATGCAACATATCCGGAGAATTCGTTTCGAGCATTACTATGTCAGTCTTTTTCTTGTTTGCATTGTACAGTCTAGAAGGCCAGCCGTTCGAGGAAGTCATGCGTAGCAAATAGACGTTTGTGTGAAAATGAACGCAAATGTGCGTATGTGAGCCTTTTGGCAAAATACGAGCCAGCTAGGTCGGTCTGCGCACCGGTAGACGTCAAGAGCTATGTCGAAGCCTTGTCCCTCAGAGACACCAAAGATCTCCGAGGAAGTAATTGCCCTGGTGAGGGGCCTTCGTGCCTCAGGTCAGCTGGAGAATGTGATCGCCGCCATTGACGCTCAAGATGCTTATGACATCCATCAGGATGAAGTGTGGTCCGGTATGAATGATAGCTGCAAACGCCGCCTGACATCATCACCAGGCCACTCAACCCATGGTTTTGAGTTGGTAGAGCCATCAGGATCCAATTCATTGACCTCAAAGCAGCAGCCCGTGACGCCTGTGACTCATTCAGCATCCAAAGTCTACGGTGGCAAGGGGTCTGAGAAGACTCCACTTCCAGAAGGGATCCATTCCAGCGATGAGTGGGGACGAACGTTGTGCACCCTGCCCAAGGTGAAGGATCGAAAGCTTCGCTACTGGGAGCTAGTGCAGAAGTCGCAATCCGATACCGAACTGTCGGATTACCTGGTGTGGATCAAAAGGGCCGGCATTCGTTCGAGCAAGGTGGACGACTTGCGTGGCTACATGAGCCACATTGGCTTTGATCCCGAGTTTGAAGCAAGGAAGATTACCTATCCAGGTACCAGCTCGGCTCGAGAGTTTTAGAGGAGTGTCGAAACGGCACATGGCATACGTATGAACCGAGGACTCTTTCGGCTTAGGCGAAAAGGTGCCTGCGATGCTGCCCCGGGTGGGGCAACCGCTTCCACAACTGTAATAATTCTGAAGTATAAGCCTATAGATCAAATATAAGAGACATCAAACACCTACATGGTGTTCACTGCAGGATAAAGCCTGCCAAACTTTACAGTGTCTATGTAAGTAATGTTTGAAAGGGTTCCATACTCTGGTTTGATTGACATCTGTTAGTTTAACATGCTACATTGACCTGGTGGGGAAGGGCGGATTTCACTGCTTGGGCCAAGTTGCGCTCAGGCTGCCAGGTGTTGTAGTCATTGAGGTTCCCCTCGTAGACGCCTGGGAAGGAGTGGATGTCGCAACCAACTGCGACCGTCGACGTCCACCCATCGTGGTGATGAAGACGACCCATCTCACCTGGTGGGATCGTTTCCAGGAAACATGGAACGGATCCTGGCCATACCTACAGTTTGGTCGTACATGTTCACGCAATTGGTCGTACAATCCATTATACTGCCTGACCTAATGTGAGACGGATGGAACATATGTAGAATCATCGAACCACATGGTTGTAATTTCATCCTTTTGTATTTTAATGTATTTGATTAACTGTTCTGTTTGGTAAGAACACACATTTTGCTGCCAGAGTCTTCTCCTTTCTAAACCCCTTGCTGCACTTGCCACTTCAAGAAAGAAAGTCATTCTCTGTAACTGCTCTTGGGAACAAGCCATGCTTTCCTGCCAGAGTATTCTCCCCAGATTGCTCCTACCATGCGTTCCTGGTTGTAGACAGTCAGTTCTATAGAATAACATGATTATCCACATCCAGAGACTGTGAACACAACCTATGTTGCACTCCTTGAAGTGTCTTACTTTAAGACTCCGCTGGGCGCCACTGGCCATTGAAGAGCCACTTGGCCTCTGCGTTGAGCATGCCGTCCTTGGTGTACCGAGGGTCTGAGGATGAGAAAACTTGAAAATCCTTCAAACATACAATTTACAGTGGTTTCAAAGTAGATGGCACAAGGGCCCTCAAGTGAGGTGGTTCATATGGACCCCCAAGACTTTACATCAATATATCAACCGCAGGGAAGGTTTGTGGAAAATGCATTGGAGGTGTTGCAAGTAAACTGTATGAGCTCCAGAACTGTTCCAAGCTTTTCCTCTGGGAGACTCGCATGGGTTACACCCTCAGAGTTTAGACCCACTCAGCCTGTGGAATACATTCTTCAAGGCATTCCAAACTGGACAGTCTGGCATCGCAACAAAAGTCCTAAAGAATTCTAATGATATTACTGTATTACTATTACTTTACTATGAGCATACCATCTAGTAACATATGTTCCTACTGTGTCCAAATAGTCCTGCAGCTGCCCCCCATTTATCGCTGAGCATCCCAGTTCAAAGGGTAGGGGATCTGAATCGTCACGATGTATTGCTCGGTCAAGCCGATGGTGTGCACCGGGGCGGGGTACCTGGCAGATCGCGGTCCGGCGCTCTAGCGATGTGAAAGGGACAAAAGGGAAGGTTGATTCCTTCTACTCCAGTCGTATCGAGTCTATATGTATTTTGTAGGTTGATATAGGTTGTGGCAGGGCTTTATCGATCTATCGATCATTACACCATGAATTCGGAATGCTGCCTTTACATACTAGGTTGTGGCATTCTGACCTCAAAAAGTTTACCAGCTATGCATCTCCAGCTTCACAAGCGATCATAATCTCCCATTGACTCACAGCCGATGCACAGCCTAATAAATCATAAGGAGAATAAATGCTTTCGGACTAAAGAACAAAAACACCAGGCCATGACCAGAAGTGACCAGGCATGACCTCACTGATAGCGCAGCTGAGTTGCTCAGTGGAGATTCGTTGAATGAGTCGTCGCGTCACTGGAGCACCAAACTCCTTCCTCAGTTGACAAATTCCCTTTCCAGGTTTCACTTTTGGTCATTTCTGACTGAGAAATTCCTCCCTGACACACCAACCACGTTTGGGTAAAAAAACAACAACTACTACAAAACCAACAAGCAAGAACACAGAACCCAAACATGGTCATACATACCCTCAACCATCCTCAACCTGTTCTTTTCGTGCTTGGCTCTCACGAACACAGAAAACACCTGTTTTCTTGTCATAACCAGTTTTATTCCATCGATTGAACACACAAGAATGAACCCTTTCTGATCAATGCATAATTAGAAGGTCGCGAGCCAGAAAACGAACGGCGGCCTCGCTCACCTGACCTGACCGTTCGACGGGTTCCTTGGGTTCCCCCAACGAGACGTCGGGCTCCACGGAAAAGACCACGTACCTGAAAGCATCGGTGAAAAGCGAGGGGTCCCCGTGCCGACCCAGATTCCGCGCGACATGACCACTTGTTGCCCAGAGGGGGGTGGCGAAAGCTAGGCAAAGAAACAACGCTGGGGCTCTTTAGGCAGCAAAAGAATGGCCGGGAATCGCAACATGCCATGGCCAAGGGAAAAGGAGAGTGCCAACAGCGCCCCCCCAATACAACCCCAACACAGCCAACGCATGGCAACACACAACCACCCCAGCAACCGCAGCAGCAGCAGCAGCAGCCACAACAACAATAACTGTAACTGTAACCAGCAGCGGCAGCGGCAGCAAGCAGAAGCTACCAAGCAGCAGCAGGAGTAGCTAGCAAGCAGCAGCACCAGCTACCAAGCAGCAGCAGCAGCAGCAGCAGCAGCTACCAAGCAGCAGCAGCATCAGCAGCAGCTACCAAGCAGCAGCAGCATCAGCAGCAGCCACCAAGCAGCAGCAGCATCAGCAGCAGCTACCAAGCAGCAGCAGCAGCAGCTACCAAGCAGCAGCAGCATCAACGGCAGCTACCAAGCAGCAGCAGCAGGAGCAGCTACCAAGCAGCAGCAG